AAAAAAAAAAACCTACCAGAATAGTTTTGAACAGTGCTTTCCCCCTCCCCATCCAGTAGCCCTGGATATGGGGCCAGCATCCTAGGTGAATTGTCACACACCTTTCTAAGTGTGGATCAGCTGCCAACATTTTATCCTTGGTACTTACAACGTCATGAAATATCTCTGAGAGTTCCTTTAATATGAAGTGCTTTTACTGTAAGAAAAGTCAGTTAGGAAATAGTGGTGGAATTGAGGAAGGAAATGACATCTTTTCTAAAGTTGAAGAAGTGAAGTGTCCCCCTTCCCCACCTTGCAAAAGCAAAGCCTGGAGCTCTTGAAGTATTTGGTAGGAGGAGGAGCCCCGTGCAGGGCCTGGCAACCAATAGGGAGATGCCAGCTGCCTCCCTGAACCTCTGCTTCTGCCTTCCTGAACCTCAGCTGCCTTCTAAGCCCTTACATTAAACTACAGCTGCTGCGGCAAGACTGCTCCCAGGGCTAAGGTGCTCCTTCTGCATCACTGTAGTTCTAGAGTGGACGAAAACACCTTTCCTTGGGTCCCTTTAACCTTCTCTCACCAGAATGCATTTCCTTAAAAAAGTGTGATCATGTAACTTTCATACTTATAAATGTTTGTGCCCTGGTGTGTAGAGAATTAAATCCAAACTCCTGAGCACAGCAGTATTAGGTCTTTCACAGTCAAGCCCCCAGCTTACTTTTTCTACCTTGTTTCCCTCAACTTCTTATAGCTCACTCACTTCCCTGCATTGAAATTTGCAAATGGACAAAGCCCCCTAAAATGCCCAAGCCCTTACCCATACTGTTCAAAGTGAAATACATCATCTCATTGCAACTGGAAAGCACCCACTTATACTTCAAAACCCAATTCATATGTCCTCAGTGAAGTCTTTTCAGACTGCTTCAAGCAGAGCTAGCTGCCATGTAGTCTTTGGTGATAGCTGTCATGTAGTAATAGCTAATTTATTTATTAATGTGCCCTTATTTCCCCTCCAGAGTAACTGGTAAATAGTACTTAGTTGAATAAACGAATGAATGAATTCGTATGAGTACATAACTATTATAAAAGTCATTTTGTCGCAAAGCAACAGAAAATAATGTAGAAATAATTCTTTCTCTGTGTCTTTTGGCACTGACTCTTAACCCCAGTCTTGACACATTGAATTCCAGAGACACTTGTACATTTATACACGTGGCGTTCTATTTGCTGTCATGCAGAGCATTTTAGTGAAGCTTAATTGAAATGTTCTTTCCCTGTACTTATCTCTTTTACCAAAGGCAGTTCCTTAATGCTGGCAAGCACGTCCTTGTGGAATACCCCATGACACTATCTTCAACAGCAGCTCAGGAGCTGTGGCACCTGGCTGAGCAGAAAGGTGAAGTACACTCTGTCTGGAACACAGACCTTCTTACTAAGATTTTCTGCCTTCCAGAGTTTCTGTGCTACTGTCTTTATGCCTTTAGGACTAAACCCCATCTCAGATGTATTACCATCCTCACCCGTCATTGTAGGCATACACAGGGAGGTTTGTGGAGGACAGAGAGATGGGGGCAGGAGGAGCAGGCATTTGCACACTTTTAGTCAAGATTATGAGCTTCTTTTACTCTAATGAAAAAATATGAATTAGCTTCCACCTGTGCTTGTGTCATTACATTATTTAGATGTTATACTTACATTTTGATATTATACTTCCATTGCTAGTGAAAAAATCTAAATGAAAGAAATTGTCTTACATGCATACTTTGTAGTTTTGTTGTTTCTCAAGTGCAACAACCATTTATAAAATATTTTATATATTCTAGGAACATGGAAACTGTACTGAGCACTTCGTATGTTACTTTGCTTACTTTTCTAGAAACCCTTAGAGATGGATATTTTTTCCTAGCTTACTTATAAAAAGCCATGGCTTGAAGAAATAAAATAATTTGTGTCTGGGCACAAAACTAATAAAATGAGTACTAAGTGGGAGGTAAAGATTTGAATCAACTGCTATTGGACTTTGAAGTTCTTATTTGTTCCCCTAAGCAACACTGAGGTTGTTTTTTTTTTTTGAGACAGAGCCTCAAGCTGTCCCCTTGGGTAGAGCGCCGTGGCATCACAGCTCACAGCAACCTCCAACTCCTGGGCTCAAGCGAGTCTCCGGCCTCCACCTCCCAAGTAGCTGGGACCACAACGCCTGGCTATTTTTTAGTTGCAGCCATCATTGTTGTTTGGCCGGCCCAGGCTGGGGATTGAATCCGCCACTCTAGGTGTATGTGGCTGGCGCCTTAGCCGCTTGAGCCACAGGTGCCGAGCCACAACTTACTTTCTTATATGGTTGGTGGGACAACTGAATGGTAGGTAGTTCAACTTGACTGTCTCACAGACATGAAAACTCCACCAGTCATCCTGACCTCGCCTGGGCTCCTTCTTATCCCAGATAAAGGCATCACCAACTCCCCAGCCACGTGGGTAACCCTTGCCCACAGGCAACCGCCCCCAATTCCTATTTCATATCCTAAACACGCCTTGACGTACTCGCCTCCCGCAGGTCCACACGCACTGCTCGGTGTCCCTCATCTCTTGCCTTGGCTATTTTTAACGGCCTCTTAACTGGACTTCCATCCCCTGCTCCAGATCCCCTCAAACGCAACCTCAGTGAATGATTCTCTAACTTCACCCACTCAGCCTCTGTGCAGGGACCCGGCAGAGCGCGGCCTGGCCCGATCCCGTCTGGGCGCCCCGGGGACAGCGAGGCAGGCCGGGGAAGGCGCCTCCTGGCACCGCCGGCGCCGCCGTCCAACCCCCAGTCTGCGCCAGCGTCCGCGGGGAGCAGGCGGCTCCGGCTCCCCCAGTCCGGGAGCAGAGGGAGGGCATCCGCGTGGAGACCCGCGCTTCGAACTTCGCCTGCCCGCTCGCCCGCTGCCCAGTCGCGGCCGATGGGGGCCCCGCCTGGGAGAGCGAAGGCCACAGGCCTGCCTGGAAGTGAAAAGCTCTAGGGCGTGAGGAGCCGGGGCCACCGCACCCCGCTCCCCAGTTCCGCGCCGTCCGCTGTGACGCGCCCCAACTCCGCCCCCGCTGGTCACCTGACCCAGCTGGCCCTATCTCCCCTCCCTGTGCACCCCTGGAGCGTGCGGATTGGCTGAGGGTGCGCCGCTCAGCCAATCCGGACGCGCCCCTCGCCTCGAGGCCCCGCCTCACCCTGCGCCCTGGCTTGGCGGGCACCAAGGGTTCCGGCCGCGCAGGTGCGCCGGGGGTCGTGTCGCGCCGGGCCGGGATGGAGGCGGCCGCGGCGCCGAGGAGGGATGTGCGGGGACGTGCCGTGTGTCCGCCCGACGGCTGCCGAGAGGAGAGCTCGCCTGAGAGGTGCGCGCCGTTGGGGAGGCTGCCCGCGCTCCCCTCTGAGAAGCTCTGCGGGCGCCGCGGGGCGAGGAGTCCGGGGGTCCAGCCCGCAGGACTGGGGGCGGCGGGACTGTGGCGCTCCTGGGGGTGGGGATCCCGCCAGGGGAGGTCCGCGGGGAAGGCCTGCGTCTAGGATGCGAGCTGAGGAGGAGGGATGTGAGGCGGGAGAGCTGACATGTAGTTGAAACCTGAGTGACAACCAGCACTCAGGTTTACGCGGGCTGGAAAAGAAGAGCATGGCAGTGTTAACAGCAAAACCCACGTGGAGGTTTTAGGTTTGAGGTCTTCTGGGGTTCCCTTGGCCAAGGGTTCCATTCCGTCAGCGGGGCCCTGAGGATTTTGTTTTAGTTCCCAGGAGGAAGAGGCTCCAGGGCAGCGGGTGGCCCTGGGCCCAGTACGGCTGGAGGCTGGAGTGCTGTGTCGGAATTCTGGAAGTAGGGGCAGGTGGTGGTGGGACCAGGGAGGAAGCAGGGAAACCACTTGGGAATCTTTCCTAATAATCTAGGAGAGGAGTGATGTTGGGGGAACCCGAAGAGAGGATATGTTGCTGAGACTGGATTGGCTGGTGTGTCCGGGAAGGAAGGGTTAAGGAGGCCTCTCAGCCGGCCGGTCTGACACCGCAGAGAAGTGGGGACAGGGAGCACTTGATGGCCACACTGCCTCTCAGGCCTGGGCGGGGCAGGAGGGGTGTGTGTGCATTTTCTTGTTCGTGTGGCTTCTGTCTCCAAACCGGGAGTGTATTAAATCCTTTCTTTTTTTTAATGGTCTTGTTCACTACCTATGCCTAGAATATGAGGGTGTGTGTGTGTCTTTAAAGTTGGGGACCACACCTGAATCACCTGTCTCTGTCATCAGAGTTCTTTGCTTGGAACAGTGAGGCAAGCCTGGAAAGTATCCCCTGGGGAAGCAGTGGAGAGGAAGTTCCCATGCCTTTTTGGTTTTGGGTTATGAAACGGATAAAGTTTAGCTTCCTTGTCCAATATTGGTAGCACTGTCTGAAGGTGGCAAATAATAGGAGATTATTTTATAAAGTATTGATCTGAAATTCAAGCCGTAGATTGGTTCAGACAAACAGTAGATTGAAACACTGCAGTCACTCAGCAAACACTAGTAGTTTGAAGTGCTGTGGGGTACTTGTAGGAAAGAACAGATATACAGGCACGTTCAGAGTCACAGTGCGCCTGCGAAATTCCTGGGTTATTGATACTAATACCAGAGGGTGGAGGATGACTAGTTAAACGCCCAGAGACTTGGACCTATTGGGTGATTTTGAACAGGAAACTAATGCATATCCTGTCCGTGCTCTGTGGTTTAATAGCCATGGTTTGTTACTCATATCTGAGTTTTCATGTGGATTGGTTTAAACCAATTGTTTATTTAAAATCAGGTTAATTTATTAATAGTATCAGTCAGAATTACTTGCTGTATGTTGATATATTCCTGAAGGTTTGGAAGATTTGGGGTACTGATAAAAAGATATTCAGATAAATTTTACTTAGTGAGAGATCTTTCATGGGATTTGTATTTTCTGTGGCATTTACTTTGTCATCTTATAAATCAAACCCCTGCTATGTGGCAGCCATGGTCTCTAGCACTGGTGACAGAGCAGTGAGAAAAATCATGGCTGCAATTTTAAATAGAGTTTGGGAAACCTCCCCAAGAAGGAACAGTTGGAGCAAAGACCTGAAACAGTTAGGGGGGCAGGATGGGATCATTTTAGGCAAAAAAAAAAAAACCAAGAGTGCAAAGCCAAGGGCCAGAGCCCCCAGGGCGAAGGTCAGTGTGGTAGGACCCAAGGAGGAGGGGGTGAAAATCACATGAGGGCATGAAAATCACCAAGCCATTGCAAAAACAGGTGTAGGGAAATTAAAGAAAACCAGTGAAATTAAAATAGTGGGCAGGAAAATTCCCTCAGGAATGTGGGAGATTGTCCCATCCCACCAATTAGGAGAGAGGGTAGCTGTCTGACCTTCACAGCAGTCAGCAGGATATTGCCCAGGCCCTTCAGACCATTAATCCTGGGAAAGGGAAAAAGAAATGTTGAAAATCTGCTCAGTGCTAGTAGCTCAGCCTGGCCTGGGCCGGCTAAACAACAATGACAACTGCAACCAAAAAATAGCGGGGCTCCTATAGTCCCAGCTTCTTAGGCGGCTGAGGCAAGAGAATTGCTTGGACCCAAGAGCTTGAGGTTGCTGTGAACTGTGACACCATGGCACGGTACCGAGGGCTAAATAGTGAGACTTTGTCTCAAAAAAAGAAAAAAAGAAATGTCGAAGATCTAAATCTCATCAGTTATAAAAGAAACTGGAAAATACTAGGTTATCAGGAATTATGCATGTTTCCCATAACCAGTGAAGACCTGGAGATTCCTAATGCCCGTTGTGGAACCGGCAGTGTTTATGTGGAGGGTCACCGTGCCCTTCATGTTGTTCACTCCTGTCAATGTGCTAGACGTGGTGCAGCTGGGTTTCCCATATCCCACCTCCTTCTTAAAAGATATGTCTTTCTTTTCTTTCCTTCAGGAAAGTTTATATGGACTATAATGCAACCACTCCCCTGGAGCCAGAGGTCATCCAGGCCATCGCAGAGGCCATGCGGGAAGCCTGGGGAAATCCCAGCAGTTCTTATCTGGCAGGTGATTCTAGAGGGTGCACACAGGCACACATCCACAGAGATGATGGGGACAGAGGCACGTGGAGAGAAATGGTACCCCCACATGTGATGGCTTTGTTTTGAATGCGTTTTCTGTTAACTGCAAGTCTTTAGCTGTACTTTTTGGTACTTTTTTCCCCTGAGAAGACCAGATTTGTAAGCTGAGTCTTGTTGATACAGTGATCTTTAACCTTTAATGTTTAATATTTAACATGCTGTCCTGTGCCCTTTCCCAGATGAGAAAGGTGTCTTATTTGCAGTAGTAGTACCTGTTAGACCCTGTGCCTTGTTTACTAGGAAAACAGGTAAAAATCAATCCCAGTTGATTTTTATAGAATTTGAAAAATATATTTTTAAATCATTAGAATCACATATAATCCTGGCCTTTTCAAAAAAATGAAAATGACCTTTACATTCATTACTTTAGTTATAAATATTCTTCCTTGTTTCTGACTGATGATCATAATGCAGAATATTAAATTGGAGGTTGGGAAAGTAATTTGCCTCAAGTCAGGAGTTAGAGCAGAGCTGTGTTGACATTGAGACAGGCAGGCTGAAGTGCACCTTTCTGATTAATGTTTCAGGGCAAGTCAAACTGTTTTTGTGGATTATGATGAACTAAAATAGCTTTTTAAACAGAGTATTGCCAAGCCCTACCATTTGGTAATAATACTTATGTTCAACTTTATAGAGGTTAGTGTGTTCCCATATCCATTTCCTTATTAAAGTTTCACAGCAACTTGTTAACTTAGGTTTCTCGGTGCAGGTACTAGGCACTGGGTAATTTATCTGTTGGTTTATTCAGTCCCTGTATTCTGGCTGGTTTTCCAGACATTGCCATGTATCATCTCTCCTCTACTAAAATCGAACTTTCTGATAGTTTAAACTTGAAAATATGTAGAATAGTGAGATGCCAGTACAAAGCGTCCATCATGAAGGAGTCTGGGAAAGACTCTGTGGGAGCAGAAGGTCCTGGCCGAGGAAAGCCTGTCTCAGGAGCCTGGGGGACTCAGCAGCAGCTCGACCCAGAGCTGCTTCTACGGTTGGTCTCAACACCCCTTTATACTCTTAATAATTATTAAGGACTCCAAGAAGCTTCTGTTTCTGCAGGCTATATGTGTGGGCAGAAATTAAACTGAGAAACTTAAAAAATAGGTATTTACTAATTCATTAAGGATAGTAATAAATTCATTACATGTTAACTTCTATGAAAAATAAACTGTCTTTTGCACAGGAGAACAAGTTTAGTGAGACAAGTTACTTTGAAATCTCTTCAGTGTCTGCTCGGTGGCAGACAGCTGGCTCATCCTCTGTGACACCAGAGTCTAACTTATGTATGTAGCTTGGGAAGGTGTCAACACAGACGTGTGAGGAAGGCAGATGATGAAAGTACTTTAGACTTTGTGAACCCCTGAGGGGCCTTGGGCACTCCAGGCTTTCCTGAATAACATTTGACAGCAGCTATTTTACCCAGCCTTGACCAAGGTACCTGCTGCATGGCCCCCTCTGGTCTGAGGGGAGACAGTGTGGTGCACAAAATGGCTTTCTGAGACATTATTCTGTCCCCTACGTGGAGAATGGACCGTGGTTGGGGTCATTGGAGTCAGGGGCCTGCTAGGAGAATCTTGTGGCAGTGGCCTTGACCTGTTATGGCTGGGGTGGTGGAGAGAGGAGTTGGGGTATGAATATGTGTGGATGGAGAACCTACAGGGTTTGCTGGTTGTTGGGGCCTGAGGGAGGGAAGTATGGCACTTTGGCTGAGCCCTCCGGGCTGAGATAGGAAAGGCCAAGAGAAGAGGACTGGGGAAGTCAGGCACTCATCCTCCATCCTCTAGCATCTGGGTGGAGAGAGTGAGGTGCAGAGGGAAGTCTGGGCTGGAAATTGGGGATCAAAGTCTTGAGTTGCTATGGGGAGGTCTGGGGAGCCAGGAGAGGCATATGGCCACCTGCAGTCTGGGATTGGAGCTGGGCCCAGCAAGGAGACTGAGGAGCCTTGGCCTTGGCAGGGAAGGAGCTGGAGGGGAGAGCGGCAGGGGTCGGAGGAGGTGAGGACCAAGGCACACCTGGATCAGACTGAGGTATGGGGCCCTAAAATCTGAGTGCCTGCCCTCAGAGGTTCACATGAGAGGACAGAGGAGTGGAGACAGCAAAGGGAAAGAAGAGAGGGCCATGCTTGGGGGGAGGTGGCGGTAAGGGTCTCAGAGTGAGGAGTGGGCCCAGGGGCAGCTTGCCCACCTGGCCTGCCTGCCCCTATGCTTATTTACTTTGAGTTCACTTCATGCTCCTCCCCCTTTGCTTATTTACTTTGAGTTCACTTCATGCTCCTCCCCCTTTGCTT